TACACCAGAACCACCACCACTAGGGGAGAAAAGGAGTGGCCCAGCGCGCTTCTATTTCCCACCCTTCCTCTCACCTTCTCCCTTGCATCCTTCCACCTCTCCTCATCGCACGAACGCTTGTGCAAGTGGGGCTTGAACACCCGCTCGTAGAGCAGAATCATCACACCCTCTTTCAACCCTTACCCTTGATTTACTCACTCCCTCATCTCCCTCCCTCTCACCTTCTCCCTTGCCTCCTTCCATCTCTCCTCGTCGCAAGGCCGCTTGTGCAAGTGGGGCTTGAACACCCGCTCATACACCAGGATCATCACCGGGGGAGAGAAGGTGTGTCCCTCAACGTCTATCCACTGGTTCACCAGTGCTCGGTCCTGCAAGAGAATGCAAACAAACGACATGGAATGAGACGCACCAGGGGAGCATGGTGCACGCATGAGGCTTGAACACCCGCTCATACACCAGGATCATAACTGTGGGGGAGAAGGTGGGCCCCTCAACGCCTATCCATTGGTTCACCAAAGCGCGGTCCTGCAAGAGAATGCAAACGGGTGGCATGGGTACACATGGGGCTTGTACTCAACACCGTCCCTCTCATACACTAGTATCATAACCGGTGGTGAGAAGGTGGGCCCCTCAACGCCTATCCATTGGTTCACCAAAGCGCGGTCCTGCAAGAGAATGCAAACGGGTGGCATGGGTACACACGGGGCTTGTACTAAACATCCTCTCTCTCATACACCAGGATCATCACGAGGGGGGAGGTGGAGTGCCCCTCAACGTCTATCCACCGGTTCACCAGCGCTCGCTCCTGGTGTGATGTGACAGAAAGGATGAGAGATGCGAAGCAATTTCAAAAAACAGATTCTGCCGGAGGCCATCCATAAAGGTCTTGTTCACCTCTCCTCTCCTCGGGGAGAGGGGAGCAGAAAGGATGAGAGATGTGAAGCAACGGGGGGGTACGTACGGTGCATGCCGGAGGCCATCCATAAAGGTCTTGTTCACCTCTCCTCTCGTTGACCAGAATCATCACCGAGGGAAAGAAGAAGGGGGGGTGGCTGGTGCGGAGGGTTTGTACAAGGGGCTTGAACGCTCTCTCAAGAACCAGAATCATTTTTGAGGCGCCTCAAAAAAAAAAGAAGGGGAGGTGGCTGGTGCTGAGGGTCTGTACAAGGGGCTTGAACGCTTGCACCAGAAGCCGTTCGAGTAGACTCAAATGTCAGACAATGGGGACGTGTCTGGTGCGGAGGGTTTGTGCAAGGGGCTTGAACGCTCTCTCAAGAACCAGAATCAGTGTTTCGAGACGTCTCAAAACACTAGTTCTATCACGGAGGGTTTGCACAAGGGGCTTGAACGCTCTCTCAAGAACCAGAATCATAACCGGGGCAAGCGTGCAACCATGCTTCACGTGCCACACACCCAAGCCTACCATGAGTGTTTCTCCCAGGAGGTTGGGCCCCCGGTCCTTATGCTTGTCCGCTATGTATCTCATGAGCGTGATATTTGTAATCTGATCTCAGTCCCTCACAAGCAAGCAGCAGGCCACACAACACAACACGACCTACCATGAGAGATTCTCCCAGGAGGTTGGGCCCCCGGTCCTTATGCTTGTCCGCTACATATCTCATGAGCGTGCGAGACTCTGGAAGGGGCACGGGAAGAACAGTGGAGAAGGAGAGCCTGAGCCTTGTGCTTCTGAAACATGGGAAGCAGATACGGGAGGCACTGGGGCTGCTCCTTGTGCTTGTCCGCTACGCATCTCATGAGCGTGCGAGACTCTGGAAGGGGCATAGGGATAACGGGGGAGAGGAAGGGGGTCTGCTCCTTGTGCTGATCAAACAGGGGAAGCAGGTCTGAGAGGGGCACTGGCAGGGAAAAGGGACTCTGACCTTGCACCACTGACCTTGCATCACTGACCTTGCACCACTGACCTTGCACCACTCACCTTGCACCACTGACCTTGCACCACTGACCTTGCACCACTGACCTTGCACCACTCACCTTGCATCACTGACCTTGCACCACTGACCTTGCACCACTGACCTTGCACCACTCACCTTGCACCACTGACCTTGCATTGCACCACTGACCTTGCACCACTCACCTTGCATCACTGACCTTGCACCACTGACCTTGCACCACTCACCTTGCATCACCTACCGTGGATGACGTGCCCGTCATCCTGGAGCACAGGGATTCGTGCAAAGGGCTGCGGATGCATGGCGGATCGGGTAGGAAATACAAAGAGGAAGGAAGGGGAGAGGGAGAAGAGAGAGGGTGTGAGGAGACACGAGGGAGAGGAGAGGAAGAAGGGTGATGAGAGGGAGAGGAGAGGAAGAGAAGAGGAGAGGGAGAGGAAAAGGAAAGGGATGAGATTGAGCAAAAGATTTGTGCACACGCACGCTCGCATGCGCGCGCGCGCACACACACACACACTCACTCAGAAGGAAAACGGAATCAGAGAGAAAGTCACCTGGATCTTGAGGAATTCGGGTGTTTTGGTGCCGCCTGTGAGTGGGTTGACCGGTATGAGCACGAAATCCTGAACGAATAGGGTTACCAGATTCATGGACGATTAGATAGAATGCACGAAACCCTGATCATTGAAGTTCCGGGATATGCACGGATGGATCGGAATGCAAGTGATCTACATGGGCATTTGCGAAAGAACGTTTCCAAGCGATCTCCAGCCTCAATGCAGCTGAGTGAGAATGCCTGTTTCCAATGCAGCAATGATTGTTTCCAACCTCAAGAGATTTCGTATTCCACCTCGCGTTACGAAATGCAGCACACTATTACTCCTCTACGCACTTTCCCCTCGTCCCATGATGCATGATTGTACACCTGTCTGTGAAAGCGAATTTGTTATGCCCCAATGCAGCTGAGAAGGCCTGTTTCCAGTGCAGCAAACTATCACTTTTGAGGCACCCCACAAGTCTTCCAGTGCACATTATCACTTTATCACTCCGCAACGCACTCATCACGTCGCAACACGTGCCATAATTTAGTAATCTCCACTCGCATCTCGTAACGCTAGGTGACAGGTGACTTTTGAGTCGACTCAAAAGTCACCACGTCGCAACGAGTGACCGTAATCCAGTAATCTCCACGCGCATCTCTTTAAGTGTCGTGATCACCCCTCTATCGTCGGTTCGAAGCGTACTACGCTATCTGAAATGCGTACTGAAATGCACTTCTACTAGGCTGGGACGGTTACCCCCGCTGACTTTTGAGTCGACTCAAAGTCAGCTCGAAGCGTACTAAATGCGTACTGAAATGCATTTCTACTAGGCTGGGACGGTCACCCCCGCTCAACCACATACATCCATTTCCGTCAAGTAATCATCTCGCAATGCGTCACGATTACTTGAGCACACAATAGTAACTCTATGTGTAAATTCACTCGTTCCTTATTCTTCCTACCTCCACTCCCATCTCATAAAGCGTCATGATCACGCGTCGCGTGTACGGCGAAATCGCCGTGCCGTGAAGCACCAGCTTCGGCATCTCGACCGTCCGATTTCACGTCGGCTGGCTAGACGGATAAAACGCAACCGTGCGATTTGTCGGCAGGGCGGCCAGACTGACGATCAAAATAGCCTCTCAGGTCAGGAGACTCAGACGACCGAAGGAATCAGTGTGAGCTGGTCACTGAACTGACGTGAGGAAGCACAGCACACTCATTGATGTACCCTTTATGGACATGTCCTCGAAATACTAGGTGCGCGTTGAAATGCAGTAAGTTGAAGACGGACTAGAGACGTGTAAAACAGTGTAGCTTCCCACAATTGTACAGCATAAATTATTGTGTAGTAATTTCAGCCCCTTTTTCCATAGGAAAATAACATTGGAACGAAGTGCCAACGAGGCAATATCATTCCTTAATCAACTTGTTCCCTTACAGGTCCGGACGCAATGTTTCTCCGAGATCCACCCTCTACCACCTGCCAATGGTTGCCATGGGGGCAAGGGAGGCGAGACCATGGCAATTTCTTTGTAACAATGGTACGCTTACTCAATGGTAACACTCATTACTGGTACATCCATTACACTTTTCCTTACATGTCCAGAAGCAATGTGTCTCCCAGTTCCACCCTCTGCCACCCAGCTGCGGCCAATGGTTGCCACAGAGGCATGGGAGGCAAGGCCATCGCAACCTCTTTGTACTCCTTATAGACTTCCTCATGCCACGAGGCTGGCCAGCTCCGCATGCCCTGTTCTACGGTGGCCGCATATGGGTTACGATTATTGCTGTTATGGATAATGTTGCTGTTGCTGTCGTGACTGTTGTTATTGCTTCTGTTGTTATTGTGAGAGCTGTACAGAAGAAGTGAAACTGAGGCTTTCGACGTCAGCAGTGCCTTCATCCTCTTTAGAAGCTGCTCCTTTGCAGGGCTCTGGCTTCTACTTTCTGCATGGGTGTCAAAGGGAGGGGTGCAAAAAATATGAAGATATTTTCCAAGTGTATAAGAGAATTCTCTTTCGTACTGCTTAATTCAAGTGTGCATATGTTACATCTCACAATACCGAGTGCACCCCCTTCACACGCCACACACCCACCACCCACCTTGCAGCCGATCAATGAGCCTCAACTGCCTCTTCACATGCCCAATACCGAACTGCACCGCTTTCCACCGCTCCCTCCTCTCCCACCACACCTGCAGCACCACTTTCCTCGCCCTCGCTTCCCTCGCTGCTGCTTCTTTTCTCGCTGCAACTTCCCCTCTCCTCCCCCCATCTCTCTCCCCTACCACAGCTGCCCCTGCTGCTGCCCCTGCCCCAGCCCCACCAGCAAAGGCAGAGAGCCACACAGCCTTCATGCTCCCTGCCAGCCCCCACCATGCAGTTAGTGCACTGCTGCTGTTAGCACCAAGCGCATCTAGATGCACTGATAGCGTGCTCATGAGGAGAGACGGGCCACACGTGCCTGCACACAGGGGAGGGGAAAGGTGGGTGAGTGAACTAATGTGAGTGTAACAGGGGCTCCTTCCCTCCCTCCCTGTCAGTCAGCCACCACCAGGAAACCGAGCGCGTCCAGATGCACTGCTAGCGTGCTCATGAGGAGAGAGGGGCCACATGTGCCTGCACAGGGGGGTTGGAGGGGTGTGGGAGGGGGATGGACTGAAAGGCATGGCATGGACACAGGAGGGCATCAGCCAAAGCACCTCCTCCTCCCACTTCCTCCCTCACTCCATCCCTCCCTCCCTCCTTTAATTTCTGTCACTCCCTCACTACCATTCTCCCACTCTCCCTCTCACTCCTCTTCTTCTCACCTGCTAGACCCAGAGGCAGCACGCCTCGCATGGCATGGGAACAGGATGAAAACAACTGCTACAAAGCATCCCTCACTCCCACCCACTCCCACTTCCTTCCTCTCTTTCCCCCCCACCCACTTCTGCTTCTCACCTGCTAGCCCCAGAGACAGCACGCCTCGCATGGCATGGGCACAGGAGGGCATCAGCCGAAGGACCTCCAGATGACATTGCAGTAGAGTGAGGGAGTGAGTGAGAGAGTGAGTGAGGGAGTGAGAGGAGGATGGGGGTAGGGGGGATTCCTGAAGTTGGACGCACTGTAGCAGCAAGGCGCGGATCCTGAGAGCAGGGAGGGAGAGAGAGACAGTAAGAGGAAAGGGACGACGCACATGGGAGGGAAAAAAACACATGCGCAGGGGAAGGGAAGGGAGTGGGTGGAATGCACATGTGGAAGTTCGAGCGTCCTGATGCTGCACCCACTGCAGCAGCAAGGCGCGGATCCGGAGAGCAGGAGGGGAAGGGAGACGGACGGCACGGAAAGGGGAGAAGCACATGGGAGTGAAAGAGCGTGGAAGGGGAATGCACATGTGGAAGTTCGAGAGTCCTGAAGCTGCACCCACTGGAGCAGCAAGGCAGGGGGAAGCGAAAGAGAGGCACATGGGAAGGAAATTACATGACAGGGGGAGAGGACGGAGGAAGAAGAGTGAGAAATACTATACAACCCTTTTATATTTTTATATTTTTATTTGGAAGGTAAAATAATACAAGTGGTTATTTAGGCATTTGAAATACTGAAAAAGGTTTCTGAAGTTACCAACTTAGCCATATGTCCCGCACTAAACCATGCCCTGAGTGTAGGACTAAGCCCTGAGTAGTACCTGAATGGATGGATGGAGCGTGCAACAGCAGGCAGGCACGAGCGGTGCAGAATGTCTAGAGCGACTCTCACTCCTCTGGGGCCCTGGGCCACGAGAATCTATGTCAGAAAGGGACGGATACGAGAATCAGCAGCAAGAGAGTGGGCGAGAGACAGTGAGAGATCAGTGACAGGGCGGGCAGGCACGAGCGGTGCAGAATTTCAAGTGCCACTCTCACTCCTCTGGGGCCCTGGGCCACTAGAATTTGCAGAGAGGGAGAGAGAGAGAGTGAGAGACGAGGGCGCGGAGAGAGGAGGGGAGGGGAAAGATAAGAGAGATCAGGAGGATGCAGGAGAGGAGAAGGATGTCAAGAGCCGCTCTCACTCCTCTGTAACCCTGAGGTACGCGAATCTGCAAGGCAGGAAATGGGGTTGGAAGGAAAAACGGAGAAGGGATAAGAGCAAGGCAGGAAATGGGGTACAGTTGGGGCATATCTGCTCTAGAGGCATGCAGGTGAACGAGGGGTACTAGAGCAGGGATGCAGAGGAGATCGGCTTGCAGCGTACGCAGGTGGAAGGAGGCAGCCTTCCAGAAGGTAAGCAGCTCGAGGAAGCAACAGGATGGGGCATGGTAGGTAGGGTAGGTAGGGAGGATGGACGTAGGAGCAGCGTACCTGAACAAGAGGCATTAGAGCCGGGATGCAGAGGGGATTGGCGTGCAGTGTCCGGAGGAGGAAGGAGGCAGCCTCTCGAGAGAGCTCGAGGGAACCGTGGGAGAGAGGAGGCAGGCGGAATGGGGTGGAGTAGGGAGGAGGGTAGGGAGAAGCTTACCTGAACGAGAGGCACTAAGGCCGGGATGCAGAGAAGATCGGCTTGCAGTGTGCGCAGGAGGAAAGAGGCTGCTTCACGGGAGAGCTCAAGGGCTGCTTCACAGGAGAGCTCAAGGGAGAGACGGAGAGAGGAGGTAGGCGGAATGGGGCGTGGTAGGGTAGGTAGGGAGAAAGGAACATAGGAGGAGAGTACCTGATAGAGGCGGAAAGGGGGACCGTAGGGTGGGGAGAATGGGAAATAGGAGGAGCTTACCTGCACTAGAGGCACTAAGGCTGGGATGCAGAGAGGGTGGGCTTGCAGTGTGTGTAAGAGGAAGGAGGCGGAATGGGGCGTGGTAGGGTGGGGTAGGAAGGAAGCTTACCTGCACAAGAGGCACCAGGGCCGGGATGCAGAGAGGGTCGGCTTGCAGTGTGCGCAAGAGGAATGATGCAGCTTCTCGGGAGAGCTCAAGGGAGCGACGGGAGAGAGGAGGCAGGCGGAATGGGGTGGAGGGGGATGGAGGAGGAGGGAGGATGAGGGGGCATATGAGCGGATCGAGATCTGCTTTGTGGGGGGAGTGGAGGAAGGAGGGACGGAGAGGAAAGGAAAAGAAAGAAAAAAAAGGCATGAGAATGGAAAATATTGAGGGAGAAATTGAAGTGCGGAAATGAGGGGAAAGGGGAGGGGACGGGGGTGAGGGGAGGACGAGCGCGTAGAAATCTGTTGTGGAGGCAGACAGAGAGATAGAAACAGGGACAGCGAGACGAAACATAATTTGTGAACGGAGAAACTCAGGGTAGCAACGAATTGGGGGGCGTGGGTGGAAGGCAGGAGAGCGAGAGGCAGCAAGAAGGGGAGGGACGGAAACAAGTGGGCCACAGCAAAACGGCAAGAGACCTGACTCGAGAAAAAGTCCCCAACACGCACCATCCCAACACGCACCATATTTCCATGGCACAACATATCTTGGAGCCTTTCCTCCTCCTCCTGCTTCACTCCTTCCAGCCCCTCCTCCTCCCATCCAACCACTCTCCCCACTCCCCTCCCTCGGCTCCCTTACTCCACCCAGCCCCCGGCCTCCTCCCTCCCCTCCTCCCCTCTTCCACACTCTCCAAGCAAACGTCTCTTCTACCACCCTCCTCCCTCCTCTCCCCCCTCCTCTCCCATCCTCCTCCTCTTCTCCCTCCCCTTCCTCCTCCTCCTCCCCCTCCTCCTCCTCGTCCCCATCCTCCCCATCCTCCCCATCCCCCCTGCCTCGTTCTCTCCCCCCTGCCATCACCTTCACCCCCTCCCCAAACGCCTTAGCCAGCCTTGCAGCCAGAACCGCACTGCTTGCCTCCTCCCTGCTGGCTTCCCAAGCTTCCTCCAAAGTACAATCTAGCACGAAGAGAGGGTTGAGGGGCGGAGAACTTGGAAGATGGGGTACGAATTCTCTGCCAGGAAGCTTCCAGGAAGCAGCCGCATATGGCTCTCCTTCTGACGCCTTTTCAGCAAAAGAGCTTGTACCATTGTAACCACCACCACCACCAGAGTAGCCCTCATCGTAACCACCAAAATGAATCAACTCACGCTCGATCCACCCGTCCCCATCCTCCGCATCCTCCTTCTCCATCTCTTCTCCTTCCCCCTCCTCCTCTCCTCCCTTTCCCACCAAGTACCCTCGCCTCTTGCCCCCTCCTCCTCTAAACCTGCTCCTCCCTGGCTCCCCACCCTGTTGCCCCTCCCTCCTCCTCTTCCTCCTCTCCCATTGGTCCAGCAGCGCCAGCTCAGGAACCTCCACGTCAGCGCCACAATCACCATCACCATGACAATCCCCATCACCCATATCCACATCCATATCCCCATGCATCCCTCCATCCATCCCTCCATGCATCCGCCCATGATCCATGTTCCTCTCCCCATCATCCATGTCTGAATTGAAGCCATGGTGGGTATGGGAGGTGGAGGGCAGCTGCAGAAGGTCCTTCTGGGCGGCAGATAGCCAGTGGGCGTGCTGGATGAGGGCGCAGAAGAGGAGAGGGGAGGGGTCCGAGCGGTAGGGGGGGAGATTGACCACCCTGCACGGACAGAGGGAGTGGTAGGGAAGCAAGAAAGGGAGAGCCAGTGGGAGTGCTGGATGAGGGCGCAGAGGAGCAGAGGAGAGGGGTCGGAGCGATAAGGGGGGAGATTCACCACCCTGCGCGAACAGAGGAGGTTGTAGGGAAAAAACAAAGGGGAGAGGTCCTTTTGGGCGGCAGAGAGGCAGTGGGAGTGCTGGATGAGGGTGCAGAAGAGGAGTGGGGAGGGGTCAGAGCGGTAGGGGGGGAGGTTGACCACCCTGCACAGAGAGGAGGGGCGGTAGGAAAGAAAGAAAGGGAGAGCCAGTGGGAGTGCTGGATGAGCGCGCAGAAGAGCAGAGGAGAGGAGTTGGTCGGAGTGGTAGGGAGGGAGATTCACAACGCTGCATGCAGAGGGCAGGGGGGACGAGGAGGGAGGAAGGGGGTTGGGTTGGGAGGTTCAGAGCGAGGAACGAGGCAGTGGAGTTGTGAGCTTGAAAGGCTGTGTTGACTCTGTTGATGCCTACTTGCTTTTAGGAATGACTTTTGCGGCGCCTCAAAAGTCGTCAGCGTTGACTTTGCTGATGCCTATTAGCTTTTGAGATTTCTAAAAAAAAAACGACGCAGATTTGTGAGCTTGGAAGGCTGTATCGAATTCGTTGACAGGACAAGGAAGAGAGAGGCTGATGACTCTGTTGGAGGCCTGATGAAGGCCTGACGAAGGCCTGACGAAGGCCTGACGAAGGCCTCATGAAGGCCTTTGCTGGCCTTCCAACGAAGTGAGAGGCTGATGACTCTCCCTTTGCTGATGCATTTTTATGGCTATAGCGCGGAGGCAGGGAAGACGCAGAGGGAGGAGCAGGAGGGTGGGAAGAGGGAGGGAGGGCACGAGGGGGAAGGGAGGAGAAGTACGAGAGGGAAAAGAAGGGTGGGAAGGGCGACCAAGGGAGAGAGGAACTCACGTCTGCAGCGTTTGGAAGGCAGCGTCGAACTCGTTGGTCTCCATCTGACACTTGGCCAGGTCTAGCAGCATCTGCCCCTTGCGCCTCTGACGAGGAAAGGAAGGCGGAGAGGGAGGGGTTGTGGAGTGGTTGAGGGCGGTTCAGCATGGGAACAAACGAACTCATTGGTCTCCATGTGACTTTTGGCCAGATCCAGCAGCATCTGCCCCTTGCGCCTCTGAGGGAGGTTGAAAGAGAGGTGAAGAGGGAAAGCGGGGGTGTTGGCATGGCACGTGGCACGGAGGTTGAGAGGCATGGTGCTTTGACCGCACATTACAACCCTGCTCCCCCCAGTCACATCCCGGCCCAGAAAATACACGCATCATCTCTCTTCTACCATCCGCACGCACCAGACAGACTCCCCACCAGCAGCACTCACATCACATCATCCTCAGCAGCCTCCTTCCTCATCACATCATCCTCGTTCTTCTAACCTAACGCTCGCATGAACATAACCAGTCTCCTCCTCTCTGCCCTCAGCTGCTCAATGCTACTACTGCTGCTGCTGCTGCTGCTGCTGCTGCTGCTGCTGCTGCTGCTGCTGCTGCTGCCACCATCACTACCCCTACTGCTGCCCCTCTGCAATAGCACTTCTAAGTCGACTCACAAGCGAGCACTAATCATCATTTAGCTTGCTTACTTACACCACCCACACGCACCATGCATACTCCCTGCGCACTCACATCACAACCCAGCAACCAACACACACATCACAACCCAGCAACCAGCACACACATCACAACCCAGCAACCAGCACACACATCACAACCCAGCAACCAGCACACACATCACAACCCAGCAACCAGCACACACATCACAACCCAGCAACCAGCACACACATCACAACCCAGCAACCAGCACACACATCACAACCCAGCAACCAGCACACACATCACAACCCAGCAACCAGCACACACATCACAACCCAGCAACCAGCACACACATCACAACCCAGCAACCAGCACACACATCACAACCCAGCAACCAGCACACACATCACAACCCAGCAACCAGCACACACATCACAACCCAGCAACCAGCACACACATCACAACCCAGCAACCAGCACACACATCACAACCCAGCAACCAGCACACACATCACAACCCAGCAACCAGCACACACATCACAACCCAGCAACCAGCACACACATCACAACCCAGCAACCAGCACACACATCACAACCCAGCAACCAGCACACACATCACAACCCAGCAACCAGCACACACATCACAACCCAGCAACCAGCACACACATCACAACCCAGCAACCAGCACACACATCACAACCCAGCAACCAGCACACACATCACAACCCAGCAACCAGCACACACATCACAACCCAGCAACCAGCACACACATCACAACCCAGCAACCAGCACACACATCACAACCCAGCAACCAGCACACACATCACAACCCAGCAACCAGCACACACATCACAACCCAGCAACCAGCACACACATCACAACCCAGCAACCAGCACACACATCACAACCCAGCAACCAGCACACACATCACAACCCAGCAACCAGCACACACATCACAACCCAGCAACCAGCACACACATCACAACCCAGCAACCAGCACACACATCACAACCCAGCAACCAGCACACACATCACAACCCAGCAACCAGCACACACATCACAACCCAGCAACCAGCACTCACGTCATCTTCTTGCTTCAGAGCTATTGCTCGCATGAACACCACCAATCGTCTCCTCTCTGCCCTCCGCCGCTCACTGCTGCTGCTGTTGCTGCCCCCACCACCACCACCACCACTGCTCCCACCACCACCACCGCTGCCACCACTGCCTCTGCTGCTGAAGCCCTTGCGCCACAGCTCTCGCAGCAGCACCAATGCTTGCTGGGGAAGGGAATGAATGACAAGGGGCAGGGGGAAAGTGGGAGGAGAGCGTTGACAGGAGTCTGTAGATGCGGCATTTCGCCTGCCTCTGCTGCTGCCCTTGCGCCACCGCTCTCGCAGCAGCACCAGTGCATGTGCGAAGTGGGGAAGAGGGAGTAGATGGCAGGTAGACGTCGGAATTAGATCAGGGCCTGTCCTTTCCCCTCCCACATCCAGCACCGCCTCTGCAAGGGTTTTCACCTCACCTGGGACTCCACAGCCATATAGGCTCATCCACAGCCCTTCTAGTGACTTCAGCATCGTTATCCGCGTCCATCAGTGCTGCCAGCACCCTGCTGCCTGCTCCACCTCCTGACTTCCTCTAATCAGTGCAAGGGGTTTCTCCTTCCTTACCTGGGACTCCTCAACCTTGGACTCGAGCCATATAGGCTCGTCAACGGCCCGTCTGGTCACTTCAGCATCCTTATCCGCGTCCATCAGAGCAGCCAGCACGCCTGCTGCCTGCTCCACCTACCTTTCTTTGATGGGTGCAAGGTGTTTCTCCTCCTCCTTACCTGTGACTCTAGCCGTATTGGTTCATCAACGGCCCTCCTGGTCACCTCAGCATCCTTATCCGCATCCATCAACGCTGCCAGCACGCCTGCTGCCTGCTCCACCTCCCCTCGGAACATCATCCTCCTTAGAAGCCGCCTCAGCATCTGCCGGTGCACCGCTGGCAGACGAATGCAGCCGCCCCGGAACCCCAGCGCGCGGGCGGCGCTCCTGCCGCGCCGCCCGTCTGCGGTGAGGGCGGTGAGATCGTTGCCATAGTCCAAATGGCGCCACTCTTGATTGGATGTGAACCGGAAGGGCGGGAGGGAGGTGTCTGGTGTGGCGGCTGCTGCTGCAGCAGGAGCGGAGCGACGACGAGCAGAACCAGCACCAGCAGCAGCAGCAGCAGCAGCACCACCACCACCACCACTAGCAGCAGCGCCAGAAGCATTACCAGAAGCTGTGGCGACTCCTCCTCTTTTTGGGGTTACAGTTACAGTCTTCCTGCGATTCCGTTGCCCCTCTTTCTCTCCCTCCCCTTCCTGCTGCTGCAACTGCTGCCCCTTCTGCTGCTGCTCCTGCTCTTTCGAGGGACTGGGATAAGCAGCGGCAGTGTCACCACCAGCACCAGCAGCAGCACCAGCAGCCGCAGAGGGACGGTCAGAGCGACGAGCAATCTTAGCCCCACCGCCGCTCTTGCCTCTCCCCTTCGCCAGCCCATCACCATCACCACCATCAACTCCTGCAGCACCTTCAACCCCTTCAGCGCCCTCATCAGCACCTGCAGCTCCTCTTGTAGCAGAAGCCGCCCTTCTGGACGCTGAGGACTGGAACCGTCCGTCTCGCCCATGCGCCGTTCCCCCTCTTGCCTGCACCCTCTCTCCCCGTGCTTGCTGTGGCGCAGTGCGGAGGGCGAGGAGAGTGCGAGAGCTCTGCACGTGGGAAGCGGGGGGCTGGAGTTTCTTCCCCTTGCGATCTGCAAGCAACACAGGCGGGAGTGAACACGGGGAATAACAAAGATCAAAACCTCCTCCTCTTGTCCAAGGAGCATTCTCCTCTCCCTCTCTCCCCTGCACCTTCTCTCCTTGCGCCTCCTGTGGCGCGGTGCGAAGGGTGAGGATGGTGTGAGAGCTCTGCACGTTGGAAGTGGGGGGCTGGAATTTCTTCTGCCTCTGATCTGCAACACAGACAGGAGGAGGGGACGCGGGGACAGCCAAAGTTTGGAAGTTGGCACCGTCCGTCTCGTCTTCGCTGCATTTTCCCTCTCTCCGCGCCTGCTGCGCCGCATTGTGAAGGGTGAGGAGAGTGCGAAAGCTCTGCACGTTGGAACAGGGGGGCTGGACTTTCTTCTTCCTCTGATCTGCAGAAAGGGCACACGGGGAAGGAAAGAAGAAACAAATCGGTGGGGACAGTGAATTCTTAAACCCTAAGCCTGATAACAATAAGTGACTTTTGAGTGAACTCAGAAATCACCTCTTAAACCCCACATTAGCAAGCCCTGCCTTGTGAACCTCGAACCCGAACTTGAAACCAGGACCTTTAAACCCTGAACCTTGCTTTTGAGCCTGAACCCAGAACCCTGAACTTCGAGATTTGAACCTAAACCCAGAACCTCAAACCTTCAAACAGGGGGGATTTGTCCAGCAAAACCCCCACCGTGACACACCTTTCTGTGACGGAGGTGAATCCTTCTGCTGTTCCTCTACTCGCCCTCCTTCCACTCCCTCCTCCTCCTCCTCCTCCTCCTCCTCCTCCTCCTCCTCCTCCTCCTCCTCCTCCTCCTCCTCCTCCTCCTCCTCTTCCTTCTCCTCCCCCTTCTCCTCCTCCTTCTCCTCCTCCTCCTTCTCCTCCTCCTCCTTCTCCTCCTCTTCCTCCTCCTCCTCCTCTTCCTCCTCCTCCTCTTCCTCCTCCTCCTCTTCCTCCTCCTCCTCCCCCTCCTCCTCCTCTCCCTCCTCCCATTCTCCCTCCTCCTCTCCCTCCTCCTCCCCTTCCTCCTCCTCCTCGTTCACCTCATCCTTCTCAATTCTTTTCTCGGTTTTCTCCTCTTCCATTTTGTTCTTCTCCACATTCTTCTCCTCATTTTCTTCCTCAGTTTCCTCGTCACTTTCCTCCTCCTCCTCCTCCTCCCTCTCCACCTCCTCGCTCTCCTCCTCATTCTCCTCATCAATTTCCTCCTCACGCTCTTTCTCATTCTCCTCCTCACTTTCCTCCTCACTCCCCTCCTCATTCCCCCCCTCCCCACCTCTCCAATCATCCTCCTCAGGTTCCTCCTTCACAACCCGCCCAGACGACATGCCGCCTGATGCCGCGGTTGCCTCGCCTTAACCTTACACACTCAGTCTGCTCACTCAACAATCTAGCGTTACGAAACAGCGACGAAGGCGTACCAGAGCGGGTCAACGGCCTCGAGCACACGACCCGTCTGCGTGTGTAAAGGTTAAGGTGAGGCGACCTTAAAAGAGGTAGCTTTCGATACTCGGAATTCACAATTAGCCGTACCAGAGAGGGCCAACGGCCTTGAGCACACGACCCGTCTGCGTGTGTAAAGGTTAAGGTGAGGCGACCCTTAAAAGTGGTAGCTTTCGATACTTGGAATTCACGATTAGCCGTACCAGAGAGGGCCAACGGCCTTGAGCACACGACCAAACTGTGTCTTTTGAGGCGCCTCAAAATAGTCCGGTGTGTAGGCCAGGAAGTGGCGAACGCTATTTTAGTCGAACTCGGTAACCAGAGCGGGCCAACGGCCTTGAGCCCACGCCCAAACTGACCGTGTGTAGGTCAGAGTGAGATGAACCACCTTAAACTGCTATTTCGAACTAAATTCTGTGCGATTCAAACGAGTTTCTGCGGGGTTGGAACGATCCCGATCGCAGGGTTCAGGGTCGGCTTGAGAGCGCATTGGATCGAATGGCCTCGCGCTCTCGCTACTACGCCCACTACTCTCGCCACGGTCGCGACTCTCCCTAAGTTCGCGACGCTACGTTCGCGACTTTCGCAACGTTCGGAGCGCAGCGAAGGATGTACAGCTCGATGGTCGAGCGTTTAAATGCGATCACCGATCCGAGCCTGCGTTCACACATTCCCCCGGTACGCTCTAACACTCGGCAGACTACGGCCCATGCCCACTAGAAGTCGTGTTGTGAAAGCTTTGCGGTAACCTGCAGAATTTTAGGGCGTGTCCAGCTCGTTCATTTCGGGAAATTTAGTACCTCCTCACGATCCGGGGTTCAAAACTGATCACTGTACCTACAAACGAATACGCCCTGCATCGAGTCCACCCTTTTTGTCAATTCTAGCGCGCGGACACATTCCCCCCACACAGACTTCAACAGTGCAGCAGCCGTGTGGAAACCGAGGTAACTGGTTTCCTCGTCAACCGAAGCGTTGGAAGTTTCGCCAAGCCAACACTTCCACTACTGGTTTTGGCGAGTGTCAGGCGGCACAGGCGAACTCGAGCGAGCGATACCATGGGCACTCACTGTAGTGGGCAGGACGCGGTGCTGTACCATGTTCGATGCGAACGATGATTTCTGTTACGTGCGTCACACGATGCGAGGTACGTGCAGGGGGTGTGCCGTATCGTGAACGGGAGCTGATCGTGTCTGGCATTTTTGTAAAACTCAGTGTTACAACGCAAAATGAGGTAACTGAAGGGCTTTACGAACAGTAAATGAACGAGCTGGACACCCCGCACCTATCTATTGTTGTTCTGACTAGTGATGGGAAAAGGGGCGGCATGGGGAACTGGGTTTTGGGTGTGATCACCATGGTGTGAACCAAACCGATTTTACAGTAAACCCCTCATTCGAAGAATGCAATAACGGAAAAATATGATGTCGGACGTATTCTTTCATATTTCAGGCTCTTTTGTCAGCCGCGTTTTGGGAGGGTTACAGAAAGTGTCTACGTCGCATAGAGAATCGTAACCAATAAGGTGCTCTAGAAGCGCTGCACATTTTGTAAAGTGTTTGGAACTTTGCGTTGCGAAACAAATTCAAATTTTGATCCCTCCCTGCGTCGTTCAGTTCTTGATTGTCAATCAATCGTGCGCGTTCACACCACTTTTCTCTGACAGCGACACCTCTCATTCTGATTCTGCCAGATTCCTACTAGTTCCTAGTCGATTCCGAAGCAGGTGTGGCTCACTCCAAGACTACTCTTGGCATACGTCGTGTTTGCCGAGTGGGGTGCGGAGTTAGTAGCTCGGGTCAACCCAGTCATTTTAGACGTTTTTTTTAAGTGATTCCGAAGTATCCGGTAAACCGCAGTTCTACGCAGTGGTGTAGTACGGATGTGTGGTGTGCGCTGGTAGGCCTAACCGAGCCGCGAGCCTCTCGGATCGCGCAGGACCAGCCGTTAGCCTCATTGCCTGATTCGCCCTTCTGAATCCTGAGCTAGTTCCGGCGACAGATTCTCATGAGCGATTCTTATCATTCTTAAAGGTCCGTGCGTATGTTCTCAGATTGATGGAACCCACAGGTTGCAATCTTGTCAGCGTATCTCCTCAAACTCGCCTTGCAGATTCTAGAAAGACATTCTCCCGCTGAATCAGACCTCTGATTCTTTTTGCTCTTCTTCTCCGCTTCCGGGAGAAGGGAAGATCAATGGCGACTCAAAGCCAAAGAGGGGGTGACGGCTCTGATGCCGGTGCTCCTGCTGCCGCTAGGGGTGCGGGAGGTGGAGCGGGTGAAATGGGAGAAGAAGATTTCTTGAATGCCTCGATAGAGAGTGACTCGGTACTGCTGAGGAGGATGTGGCAGAACGAGAAAGCGGCGCCGGATATCCTCCTGTACGAAACCGAGTTGGTGGAGCGGACTAAAGCGAGGCTTGAAGAGCTGGTGAGTGGGATCGTCTCGTCTTGGCTTTCCATTGTCCCTAACAGGGAGATTCTGCAGAGAGTTGGTGGAGCGGACTAAAGCGAGGCTAGAAGAGCTGGTGAGTACGATCGTCTCGTGACCAAGTACCCCCTTTTTATAGATTCGTGTATCATCTGTGATGCGCTGTGCCATGCTTGTTTGGCAGGAGGAGATGATTGACGCGTTGAAGGGGGACGGACGGAAGGCCATGGAGAGAGAGCTACATATGATGGACGTCGACAGAACCAAGTACCTGCTCAGAGCATACCTGCGATGCCGGATACAGAAGGTGGGTGGTTGGGGGGTGGTGGCGGTGGCGAGTCGACCCAAAAGCCCCCCCGCAGGACCAAGAACCTGCTCAGATCATACCTGCGATGCCGGATACAGAAGGTCGGTCAGTGGTGTGTAGAGGGTGGTGGGCTACTAGCGCTGCCAGTGGTATTCTGGTAACCTGCTCACCGTGTTTTGAGTCGACTCAAAACACGGCTGCTAGTGCTGCCAGTGGTATTCTGGTAAGCTGGATTTTTTTACCATATGTATGCGCGCTGAATTAGCCAGTGGTGGGTTGAGGGTGGTAAGTTGGTTGGTAATCCTGTCAAGCCAGTGGTATCCTGGTAACCAGCAGGCAGGTAACACCATGGACCCTGACAGGACTAGGTACCTCTCAGGGTCTGCCATACGCGCCAGCTGCCAGAGGGGAGTGGTGGGGCTGGTAACCCTATCGCAGCTAGGTTGGTAACCCTGCCAGGCTAGGGGCATGCTGGTATGGTAACCTGCAGGTAGGTAACACCACGGATGTTGACAGCACCAAGTACCTCCGCAGGGTCTACCGTAGGCGCCAGAAGCCAGAGGTGAGTAGTGGGGATGGTGACCCTATCGCTGCTAGGCTGGTAACCCTGCCAGAGGCATACTGGTAACCTGCAGGTAGGTGAAAGTGCTCTCCTTTGAAAGCTGGCTCTAGTAGCCCTTATGCGACACCTTGCGCAATTCTTCCGCGGCTACTAGTAGAGCCTGCTCTCAAAGGAGAGCAGCGTCACTTCTGCTCTTGGTTCACTCGTTTCCCCCCCATGCAGATCGACCAATCGTTTTTGAGTCGACTCAAAAGTCACCTCCCTCCATGCAGGTCGACCAACCATTTTTGCACATTGCCAGTGAGTGTATAGCCACCACAGCCGCCTCTCAGATGGGGAATGGCGGTATTACCCACCTCGTTCAAATCAACCACTTCTGCTTTCTCCCTTCGCTCGCTCTTCACGGTCCCAACCCCCCCATGCAGATCGACCGCTTCTTTCTGCATTTTGCTGGAGAGGAGAGCTACCACAGCCGGCTGTCAGAAGGAGAGCAGCGGTATTGCGACAAGTACGTGAGCTTGCTGCTGTGTGCTTGCTTGCTTGTGCCAGCTTGTGTGTGCCTGCCTGCCTGCTCTGGTGCTCTGAGGAGTTGTGAGGCGTCTCAAACGATCACAGCCGGCTGTCAGATGGGGAGCAGCGGTACCACGCCAGGTACGTGAGCTTGCTATGGTGTGCTTGCTTGTGTGTCTGTGCCTGCTCTAGGCTCTGTAGTGCTGTGAGGCTGGCGAGGAGAGCTACCACAGCCGGCTGTCAGATGGGGAGCAGCGGTACCACGCCAGGTACGTGAGCTTGCTATGGGGTGCTTGCTTGTGTGTCTGTGCCTGCTCTAGGCTCTGTAGTGCTGTGAGGCTGGCGAGGAGAGCTACCACAGCCGGCTGTCAGATGGGGAGCAGCGGTACCACGCCAGGTACGTGAGCTTGCTATGGGGTGCTTGCTTGTGTGTCTGTCCCTGCTCTAGGCTCTGTAGTGCTGTGAGGCTGGCGAGGAGAGCTACCACAGCCGGCTGTCAGATGGGGAGCAGCGGTACTGCGACAGGTACGTGAGCTTGCTATGGGGTGCTTGCTACTGTGTGCCTGCTCTGGTGCTCTGAGCAGTTGTGAGACGCCTCAAAGCTACCACAGCCGGCTGTTAGAAGGAGAGCAGCGGTACTGCGACAGGTACGTGAGCTCGCTGCTGTGTGCTTGCTTGCTTGGTTGTGCCTGCTTGCTCTAGTGTTTTGAGAAGTTGTCAGGCGTCTCAGAGCTACCACAGCCAGCTGTCCGGTGGGGACCAGCGTAACAGCGGTACTGCGATAGGTACGTGTGCTTGCTGCTGTGAGCTTGCTTGTTGTGCGTCCATGCTCTAGTGCTCTGAGCAGTTGTGAGACATCTCTAGTGCTTTTACAAGAAACGAGTTTTGAGAAGTCTTGACAACTCGTCTCTTGAACACGTGAGAGCGAAACTTGGTGAAGGTGGACAGGTGGGCTGCGAAGGCCTTATTCCCATTCCATCAGCTGTATAGGTAAGTGCGACCTAGGCGTCAAAACGAGCCCTTGGTTCAGATGGAGATATGGGCTTGGTTAGGTGAGGCCGTTTGCGTATTTGTAACAGCCAGCCTGAGAGTCAACTAGCTAGTTTGGGTCCTTACAGTCCTGTGAATCTGTTATCTGCAGGTAGATCTGGTGCAGGCGCATCTGGACAGGACTGTTCTTCATAATCAACTTTCACCTTGTGTCCTTCTCCTTGTACCTCCTCTCCAGGCAGGTAGATCTGGTGCAGACGCATCCGCACAGGACTGTGTTCCTCAATCAGCCCTCTCTACCATCTTCTTCCTTTTTTGCTCCAGGCAGGTAGATCTGGTGCAGGCGCATCTGGACAGGACTGCACTCACGCGCCTGCCTCGGCGCTACCAGTCCATTCTCAAGCAGGCGGATTCGAGTGAAACCCCGGACATGAGTGAGTGCTACACAGGGTCTCAGGGTTAGAAATTGGGGGGTTGGGGGTTTTGTGTCCGGGTTTAAGGTGCCTATGGCTCTACAGTCTACTCACGCCGCTACCAGTCAAACTGAAGCAGGCGGACTCGGGCAAATCCCCGGATATGAGTGAGTGCCAAATTTCATGCTGTAGTGTTAAAGGGCTCGAAGGGTTTTATTATTATTTTCTGTTCAAGTCAACCTACCTGATTTTTTAACCAGCTCGTCTTATCCTGTCAACCGAATGACCCCTCCTTTGCATCTCCCTCTCCCTGCCTCGGCACTTCTGCGTTCTGGGTGGCGACTCCCTCCCAGCCTTCTGTCCAGCTGGCCAAACAACCCATGATTTCCAAACCACTTTGCCCGTCTCTTTCCAACCGATTAACCCTTCCTGTGCAGTCCCCACTCCGGACCTCGACACCTTCGTGTTCTGTGTGGCCACTCGCCCTCTGCCGTCTGTCCAGCTGGACCCCGAGTGAGTGCAACCAGGAGTAACAGGTTGTGACTTGTCACAGCGGGGACGTTAGTGTGTTGTTCACATCTTGTGTTCTGTGTGGCCACTCGCCCTCTGCCGTCTGTCCAGGTGGACCCCGAGTGAGTGATGTAAGTAAGTTATCGGTACTGGTGAGTATTATGACAAAAAATAAACCAAACTTCTTGGTCTCTTTCCTAGTGTCCCATTTTTTACTTGAAAATACGACTCTGGCTCCTGGTGAGGTACGACATTGATTTTAGAATCCCATCATTTCATGCTGCAGCTTGTGGCATTTGAACACGAGGCTCCTTCATATTACTTGCATTTTCAGCCACATATTCCCAGGCCCCGTGCTGTTCTTCCCTAACCCTGCTTTTCTCAGCACGAACTCAAATCCTGCATTTTTCCAAACCTTTCCCAAACCTCCAGGCAGGATGACATCATCGGCATGGCGCCTGGAGAGCTCCACATTCTGCGATATAGGCCAATCCAAACACTTGTACAGTCGGGTGATCTGATGCTGCTGTGATTGGCTGTGTAATATTTGTTGAAAAGACAATCGCAGTATGCGTAATGTTTGGATGTATTTCCAATCCAGAGATCATGAATGAGATGTACGTTTTGTTGGGCGTCAACGTGTAAGAAGTCAATTCCATTGGTTTAATCAGATGATTGACAGCAGTGTGACTGGTCTTACAAGATCATTATGCAGTTGTTCTCTCGGTTTCGACTTGTTTTTTATCTACAAACGAAACATCGGATCTTCCTTAATTGAACCTTTCTGTTCGCACCTCAGTAATAGTTTTCCCGCCACGAATAAGTCTGACAGTTCTGACACATTCGAGAACTAACTGAAGATTGAATGTCAATCGACTCTCTACAGGTATTCGAGTTAGGCGAGAATGGATTTGAGTGTTGTTTCATTGGAGCTTTGATACACGAGGTATTCTGCACTATTCACCACGTTCCGTATTCAGGCGTCATTGCTGCAGCGAGCTCCTTCCTGCTGTGCGCCTAGCGTCAGTGTTTGATATGTGTAGCACCCTTCGTTAGTACCGCCATGGCAACTGGTTTCTCTACTAGATCGAGCCCCGTCGTAAGAGATTATTGTTGTTTCGACAGGTTTCGTTTCACGTATTTTGAAGTCGGCTCGCTTGCCGTCCGATCCGAAGCATCTCGGTAGATCGACGAGCGAGTTCGACTAATTTAGTCCTTTTTCGTACAACTGAAATCACAAATTCGCATTGTTCGCACACGTGGTAACACCAAAAAGCTTTAGTTCGCCACATTGGCGACCATGTTCTTTCCGAGGTTATGGCGATCTGTCGTAGCTGTCGAACCCGCAAACAGCAAGTCCTTGACAAAGTCCAAACGGTTTCCGTTAACGTTCCGTTTTACGTCGACGTTTGCTATATTTCAGCGTATTCTCCTCCCAGTAGCGCTTCTCCTTCAGCTCTTAGCGGGTATGTTCTTCCTCCATCATTACCAAACCTCCACTTTCCTCCCTTCCACGTCGGATGTTTCATCTGCCCGAGGAAAAAAAATTCTAGCTGTCCTAGATGCGACTGCTTTCTCCGGTTTAGCCGATACTTCTCTTACTGTAGCTGGCTACAGTACCACCGGAAGCACTGTAGTTCACTCGGCACGCAGTGGGCACGAAATCGAGAAGCTGGTTACCAGCAGTGTTACACGAGCGAACAACAACGATGTAATCAGCACCGTTACATTAGCATCTGAGGATGTAACAAGCACGGACGCACCTGTTACGCACGCCTCTCGCATCTCATTAGGCCTCGATGACGTCACCATCACGTCACTCAACAGACTACAGCAGTCAACCGGCTTGAAAGCGGCTCCGTTAGTGGTCAGTAACGGAAGGGGGAGAGGTGGAGGGGGAGGAGGGGGGATGGGAGGGGGGAGCGGAAGGGGGAGAGGAGAGGGAAGCAGAGGGGCAAATGGAGGGGTGACGGCAGGGCTGAGGGGAGAGACCAGCGGAACAGGTTGGGGCGGAGGGGGAGAAACGGCGGAGGGGCGGAAAAGCGAAGGCAGGGGATGGTGGGGCTGGCTGGTAGGGGGAAGGGGAATGAAGGAAGGTGAGGGGATGGGAGAGGGGGGAGAAGAGGAAGGAGGAGGGGAGGGAGAGGAGGTAGGAGCGGATGAATCTCCGTCTCCTCATAAGCCGCTGTGGCTGCGAAAGTTAGAGGAGAGAGACGCACAGGCGCTGGCATTGCAGCAGAACGGGGGGAAGGGTGTGGGTGAGGGCAAGGGAAGGGCGAGAGGAAAAGGAGGGAGAAGAAGTGGGAGTGGAGGTGGGGCGGGAGGAGGGAAGGGAGGAGGGAAGGGAGGAGGGAAGGGAGAGAAGGGAGGAGGGAAGGGAGGGGGGGGAGGGAGGGGAGCTTCGAATAGTTGCAGGCAGGATGGTGAGGAAGATTTCCAAATACGATATGCTGCTAAAGATGCTGGCGGAAGTTGCCAGGAAGGAGCAGCAGGCGAAGCGGGCGGTAGCTGAATGGCAGAGGCTCGGCAATCCGTGGCCTCCCGCCGTGGCTCGGCCAGACCTGCTGGCCAGGAACGAGCTTCCGGTTTGGAATGCGGATAAGTTTCCCGAGGCAGGGGTGGGAAGGGGTGGGGTGGGATTGGGTGGAGTGCAGGGGAGGGGGAGCGGAAAGCAGGGGGGAAGGGGAGAATCAGAGGGGGGAGGGGGAGGAGCGCAAGGGGGAGTTGCGGAAGTGGAGAGAAGGGGGGGAGGGCGAGGAGGAGAAGGAGGGGAGGGGCAGGAGGAGCGGGTGATAGTGGTGCTGTATGTGCACAGGAGGGAAGAGTACCTGAAAGTGGCCTTAGATGCTCTGTCTAAAGTTCAAGGCATCAACGAAACCCTGCTCATTGTCAGGTGCGCTATGAGTGTGTGTGGGTGCAGGGGGTGCTGCTAGGGGTGCACAGGAGGGCGGAGTACCTGAAAGTGGCTTTAGATGTTCTCTCTAAAGTCCAAGGCATCAACGAAACCCTCCTCATTGTCAAGTGCGCTATGAGTGGGTTCAAGGTGTGGTGCTTGGGGAGCAGGCAGCGATAGTGGTGCTGTTTGTGCACACAGGCACGTGGAGTATCTGGAGGTGCCTCTGGATGCTCTCTCTCGAGTTCAAGGCATCAACGAAACCCTCCTCATTGTCAGGTGCGTGCCTGCTGGTAACCAAGTGCCTCAGGGAAGCAGGCAGTGGTGACAGTGGTGCTAGTGGTGACAGTGGTGCTAGTGGTGACAGTGGTGCTAGTGGTGACAGTGGTGCTAGTGGTGACAGTGGTGCTAGTGGTGACAGTGGTGCTAGTGGTGACAGTGGTGCTAGTGGTGATAGTGGTGACAGTGGTGCTAGTGGTGATAGTGGTGACAGTGGTGCTAGTGGTGACAGTGGTGCTAGTGGTTATAGTGGTGACAGTGGTGCTAGTGGTGACAGTGGTGACAGTGGTGCTAGTGGTGCTAGTGGTGCTAGTGGTGCTAGTGGTGCTGTTTGTGCACAGGGGTTCACAGGCGCGTGGAGTATCTGAAGGTGGCTCTGGGTGCGCTACTCTCTCTCGCGCGCAAGGCTCCTCATTGTCAGGTGCGCTGAGTGTGAGTGAGTGAGCGCATATGGTGGGTGTGTGGGAGAGCAGGTAGGGGTGCTTGTAGTGGGAGAGCAGATAGGGGTGCTAGTAATAACAGGCCCTCGTGGCATTCCTCCTCCCCTATCCTCACTCCACTCCTTAATCTGCCCGCATTCCCTCCCCCCACCTAACAGCCACGATGGGTTCTTACCAGCAGTTGACTCATTCCTTCCCTCTCATTCCCTCACTTGTCCGTTCAATCACCTTCTGCCCTGTCAAGCAGATCTACTTCCCCATTTCCCCCCGCCAACAGCCCTTTCTTCCACCATATCGTGCCCACTGCCCATCCCTCCCTGCATCTAACAGCCACGACGGGTACTTCCCTGCAGTTGATTCGCTCGTGGGTTCCCTCATTGTCACCTTCTGTGCCCCCATTGTCCCCATTGTCCCCATTGCCCCCATTTCCTCCCTGCATCTAACAGCCACGACAGGTACTTCCCTGCAGTCGACGCCCTCGTGCGCTCAATCACCCTCTGCCCGCTCAATCGCCCTCTGCCCGCTCAATCGCCCTCTGCCCGCTCAATCGCCCTCTGCCCGCTCAATCGCCCTCTGCCCGCTCAATCGCCCTCTGCCCGCTCAATCACCCTCTGCCCGCTCAATCGCCCTCTGCCCGCTCAATCGCCCTCTGCCCGCTCAATCACCCTCTGCCCGCTCAATCGCCCTCTGCCCGCTCAATCGCCCTCTGCCCGCTCAATCGCCCTCTGCCCGCTCAATCGCCCTCTGCCCGCTCAATCGCCCTCTGCCCGCTCAATCACCCTCTGCCCGCTCAATCGCCCTCTGCCCGCTCAATCGCCCTCTGCCCGCTCAATCGCCCTCTGCCCGCTCAATCGCCCTCTGCCCGCTCAATCACCCTCTGCCCGCTCAATCGCCCTCTGCCCGCTCAATCGCCCTCTGCCCGCTCAATCACCCTCTGCCCGCTCAATCGCCCTCTGCCCGCTCAATCGCCCTCTGCCCGCTCAATCACCCTCTGCCCGCTCAATCGCCCTCTGCCCGCTCAATCGCCCTCTGCCCGCTCAATCGCCCTCTGCCCGCTCAATCGCCCTCTGCCCGCTCAATCGCCCTCTGCCCGCTCAATCGCCCTCTGCCCGCTCAATCGCCCTCTGCCCGCTCAATCACCCTCTGCCCGCTCAATCGCCCTCTGCCCGCTCAATCGCCCTCTGCCCGCTCAATCGCCCTCTGCCCGCTCAATCGCCCTCTGCCCGCTCAATCGCCCTCTGCCCGCTCAATCGCCCTCTGCCCGCTCAATCGCCCTCTGCCCGCTCAATCGCCCTCTGCCCGCTCAATCGCCCTCTGCCCGCTCAATCGCCCTCTGCCCGCTCAATCGCCCTCTGCCCGCTCAATCGCCCTCTGCCCGCTCAATCGCCCTCTGCCCGCTCAATCACCCTCTGCCCGCTCAATCGCCCTCTGCCCGCTCAATCGCCCTCTGCCCGCTCAATCGCCCTCTGCCCGCTCAATCGCCCTCTGCCCGCTCAATCGCCCTCTGCCCGCTCAATCGCCCTCTGCCCGCTCAATCGCCCTCTGCCCGCTCAATCGCCCTCTGCCCGCTCAATCGCCCTCTGCCCGCTCAATCGCCCTCTGCCCGCTCAATCGCCCTCTGCCCGCTCAATCGCCCTCTGCCCGCTCAATCGCCCTCTGCCCGCTCAATCGCCCTCTGCCCGCTCAATCGCCCTCTGCCCGCTCAATCGCCCTCTGCCCGCTCAATCGCCCTCTGCCCGCTCAATCGCCCTCTGCCCGCTCAATCGCCCTCTGCCCGCTCAATCGCCCTCTGCCCGCTCAATCGCCCTCTCGCTGCATGTCCGCAACTGACCCTGCTCTCGCCCTCACCCCTCGCCCCGTTCTATGTGCCCCACCTAACCCCCCCATCTAACAGTCACAATGGGTACTTCCCTGCAGTCGACGCCCTCGTCCGCTCAATAACCCTCTGCCCGCTCAATCGCCCTCTCGCTGCACCTCCGCAACTGACCCTGCTCTCGCCCTCACCCCTTGCCCCCTTTCTATGTGCCCCACCTAACCCCCCGCATCTAACAGCCACGACGGGTACTTCCCTGCAGTCGACGCCTTCGTCCGCTCAATAACCTCTTGTCGTGTCAAGCAGATCTACTTCCCCTTGTCCCCGCACCTTCAAAACGGCTCCTTCCCTCGCTCTCCTCCCCTTCTGCGCCCACTTTCCCCTCCTCATTCAACAGCCACGATGGGTTCTTCCCTGCAGTTGACGCCCTCATCCGCTCAATCACCTTCTGCCCGGTCAAGCAGATCTACTTCCCCCTCTCCCTGCACCTCCAAAACGGCTCCTTCCCCAACCGCTCCCCCTTAGACTGCCCTCCTAGCAGCAGCTTTAAAGGTCGCAGGGATGGGCAGCAAGAGGAGGAGGGGCAGAGAAAGGTGCAAAAAAACGGGCAGGAGAAGGGGCAGGAAAGGGGGCAGGGAATGGGACAGAAGGAGGAGCAGGAAAAAGGGCAGGAGGAGGGGCAAAAGGAGGAGGGAGCGTGTTTTGGAGACGTGGACCAGAATGGGCGGTACAGGGACCCACACTTCGTGGCTTTAAAGGTATGACCAGGCCCGTGATACAATCAGAAGGGCAGGAAAGAGGAAGGCGCGTGTTTTGGAGACGTGGACCAGAATGGGCGGTACAGGGATCCTCACTTCGTGGCTTTAAAGGTACAATTTGTGTGCTGGTCATTCAGTAAGGTCAGGGAATAGGTAGTGCTTGCAAAAGTGATGGGAGCGTGTTTCGGAGAGGTGGACCAGAATGGGCGATACAGGGACCCACACTTTGTGGCTCTGAAGGTATGACTAGGCACCGTGAATACTATCAGAAGGGGCGGAAAGTGAAGGGAGCAGATTTTGGAGATGGGGCGGTACAGGGATCGTCACGTCGTGGCATTAAAGGTACGGGCTGCTCATGCTACCTGGTAGCACGCGTCTTATAGTGAGGACAGGGTGTAATTTCTTGTTTAAGGAGCTGGATGAACCGAGGTTTGGAAAACGTGGATCAGAATGGGCAGTACAGGGACCCACACTTCTTGGCGTTTAAGGTTCATTTTGTGGGCTGGCCTTTAGGTAAGGCCAGGCCAGGGTTTGGCGAATGCGTGGGATGGTGCTGGTATCAGTGCATGGGAGAGCAGAGCACAGGGTATGTGGGGATGAGGACGAGAATGGGCTGTATATCATGGGGACGCACGCATGTTCCAAGCATTCCCAAAGGGAATGACTCGTTGGGAATGTTCCCGCATGCATGTTGACTCGTTGGGAATGTTCCCGCATGCATGTTGACTCGTTGGGAATGTTCCCGCATGCATGTTGACTCGTTGGGAATGTTCCCGCATGCATGTTGACTCGTTGGGAATGTTCCCGCATGCATGTTGACTCGTTGGGAATGTTCCCGCATGCATGTTGACTCGTTGGGAATGTTCCCGCATGCATGTTGACTCGTTGGGAATGTTCCCGCATGCATGTTGACTCGTTGGGAATGTTCCCGCATGCATGTTGACTCGTTGGGAATGTTCCCGCATGCATGTTGACTCGTTGGGAATGTTCCCGCATGCATGTTGACTCGTTGGGAATGTTCCCGCATGCATGTTGACTCGTTGGGAATGTTCCCGCATGCATGTTGACTCGTTGGGAATGTTCCCGCATGCATGTTGACTCGTTGGGAATGTTCCCGCATGCATGTTGACTCGTTGGGAATGTTCCCGCATGCATGTTGACTCGTTGATGTTCCGCATGCATGTTGGAATGTTCCCGCATGCATGTTGACTCGTTGGGAATGTTCCCGCATGCATGTTGACTCGTTGGGAATGTTCCCGCATGCATGTTGACTCGTTGGGAATGTTCCCGCATGCATGTTGACTCGTTGGGAATGTTCCCGCATGCATGTTGACTCGTTGGGAATGTTCCCGCATGCATGTTGACTCGTTGGGAATGTTCCCGCATGCATGTTGACTCGTTGGGAATGTTCCCGCATGCATGTTGACTCGTTGGGAATGTTCCCGCATGCATGTTGACTCGTTGGGAATGTTCCCGCATGCATGTTGACTCGTTGGGAATGTTCCCGCATGCATGTTGACTCGTTGGGAATGTTCCCGCATGCATGTTGACTCGTTGGGAATGTTCCCGCATGCATGTTGACTCGTTGGGAATGTTCCCGCATGCATGTTGACTCGTTGGGAATGTTCCCGCATGCATGTTGACTCGTTGGGAATGTTCCCGCATGCATGTTGACTCGTTGGGAATGTTCCCGCATGCATGTTGACTCGTTGGGAATGTTCCCGCATGCATGTTGACTCGTTGGGAATGTTCCCGCATGCATGTTGACTCGTTGGGAATGTTCCCGCATGCATGTTGACTCGTTGGGAATGTTCCCGCATGCATGTTGACTCGTTGGGAATGTTCCCGCATGCATGTTGACTCGTTGGGAATGTTCCCGCATGCATGTTGACTCGTTGGGAATGTTCCCGCATGCATGTTGACTCGTTGGGAATGTTCCCGCATGCATGTTGACTCGTTGGGAATGTTCCCGCATGCATGTTGACTCGTTGGGAATGTTCCCGCATGCATGTTGACTCGTTGGGAATGTTCCCGCATGCATGTTGACTCGTTGGGAATGTTCCCGCATGCATGTTGACTCGTTGGGAATGTTCCCGCATGCATGTTGACTCGTTGGGAATGTTCCCGCATGCATGTTGACTCGTTGGGAATGTTCCCGCATGCATGTTGACTCGTTGGGAATGTTCCCGCATGCATGTTGACTCGTTGGGAATGTTCCCGCATGCATGTTGACTCGTTGGGAATGTTCCCGCATGCATGTTGACTCGTTGGGAATGTTCCCGCATGCATGTTGACTCGTTGGGAATGTTCCCGCATGCATGTTGACTCGTTGGGAATGTTCCCGCATGCATGTTGACTCGTTGGGAATGTTCCCGCATGCATGTTGACTCGTTGGGAATGTTCCCGCATGCATGTTGACTCGTTGGGAATGTTCCCGCATGCATGTTGACTCGTTGGGAATGTTCCCGCATGCATGTTGACTCGTTGGGAATGTTCCCGCATGCATGTTGACTCGTTGGGAATGTTCCCGCATGCATGTTGACTCGTTGGGAATGTTCCCGCATGCATGTTGACTCGTTGGGAATGTTCCCGCATGCATGTTGACTCGTTGGGAATGTTCCCGCATGCATGTTGACTCGTTGGGAATGTTCCCGCATGCATGTTGACTCGTTGGGAATGTTCCCGCATGCATGTTGACTCGTTGGGAATGTTCCCGCATGCATGTTGACTCGTTGGGAATGTTCCCGCATGCATGTTGACTCGTTGGGAATGTTCCCGCATGCATGTTGACTCGTTGGGAATGTTCCCGCATGCATGTTGACTCGTTGGGAATGTTCCCGCATGCATGTTGACTCGTTGGGAATGTTCCCGCATGCATGTTGACTCGTTGGGAATGTTCCCGCATGCATGTTGACTCGTTGGGAATGTTCCCGCATGCATGTTGACTCGTTGGGAATGTTCCCGCATGCATGTTGACTCGTTGGGAATGTTCCCGCATGCATGTTGACTCGTTGGGAATGTTCCCGCATGCATGTTGACTCGTTGGGAATGTTCCCGCATGCATGTTGACTCGTTGGGAATGTTCCCGCATGCATGTTGACTCGTTGGGAATGTTCCCGCATGCATGTTGACTCGTTGGGAATGTTCCCGCATGCATGTTGACTCGTTGGGAATGTTCCCGCATGCATGTTGACTCGTTGGGAATGTTCCCGCATGCATGTTGACTCGTTGGGAATGTTCCCGCATGCATGTTGACTCGTTGGGAATGTTCCCGCATGCATGTTGACTCGTTGGGAATGTTCCCGCATGCATGTTGACTCGTTGGGAATGTTCCCGCATGCATGTTGACTCGTTGGGAATGTTCCCGCATGCATGTTGACTCGTTGGGAATGTTCCCGCATGCATGTTGACTCGTTGGGAATGTTCCCGCATGCATGTTGACTCGTTGGGAATGTTCCCGCATGCATGTTGACTCGTTGGGAATGTTCCCGCATGCATGTTGACTCGTTGGGAATGTTCCCGCATGCATGTTGACTCGTTGGGAATGTTCCCGCATGCATGTTGACTCGTTGGGAATGTTCCCGCATGCATGTTGACTCGTTGGGAATGTTCCCGCATGCATGTTGACTCGTTGGGAATGTTCCCGCATGCATGTTGACTCGTTGGGAATGTTCCCGCATGCATGTTGACTCGTTGGGAATGTTCCCGCATGCATGTTGACTCGTTGGGAATGTTCCCGCATGCATGTTGACTCGTTGGGAATGTTCCCGCATGCATGTTGACTCGTTGGGAATGTTCCCGCATGCATGTTGACTCGTTGGGAATGTTCCCGCATGCATGTTGACTCGTTGGGAATGTTCCCGCATGCATGTTGACTCGTTGGGAATGTTCCCGCATGCATGTTGACTCGTTGGGAATGTTCCCGCATGCATGTTGACTCGTTGGGAATGTTCCCGCATGCATGTTGACTCGTTGGGAATGTTCCCGCATGCATGTTGACTCGTTGGGAATGTTCCCGCATGCATGTTGACTCGTTGGGAATGTTCCCGCATGCATGTTGACTCGTTGGGAATGTTCCCGCATGCATGTTGACTCGTTGGGAATGTTCCCGCATGCATGTTGACTCGTTGGGAATGTTCCCGCATGCATGTTGACTCGTTGGGAATGTTCCCGCATGCATGTTGACTCGTTGGGAATGTTCCCGCATGCATGTTGACTCGTTGGGAATGTTCCCGCATGCATGTTGACTCGTTGGGAATGTTCCCGCATGCATGTTGACTCGTTGGGAATGTTCCCGCATGCATGTTGACTCGTTGGGAATGTTCCCGCATGCATGTTGACTCGTTGGGAATGTTCCCGCATGCATGTTGACTCGTTGGGAATGTTCCCGCATGCATGTTGACTCGTTGGGAATGTTCCCGCATGCATGTTGACTCGTTGGGAATGTTCCCGCATGCATGTTGACTCGTTGGGAATGTTCCCGCATGCATGTTGACTCGTTGGGAATGTTCCCGCATGCATGTTGACTCGTTGGGAATGTTCCCGCATGCATGTTGACTCGTTGGGAATGTTCCCGCATGCATGTTGACTCGTTGGGAATGTTCCCGCATGCATGTTGACTCGTTGGGAATGTTCCCGCATGCATGTTGACTCGTTGGGAATGTTCCCGCATGCATGTTGACTCGTTGGGAATGTTCCCGCATGCATGTTGACTCGTTGGGAATGTTCCCGCATGCATGTTGACTCGTTGGGAATGTTCCCGCATGCATGTTGACTCGTTGGGAATGTTCCCGCATGCATGTTGACTCGTTGGGAATGTTCCCGCATGCATGTTGACTCGTTGGGAATGTTCCCGCATGCATGTTGACTCGTTGGGAATGTTCCCGCATGCATGTTGACTCGTTGGGAATGTTCCCGCATGCATGTTGACTCGTTGGGAATGTTCCCGCATGCATGTTGACTCGTTGGGAATGTTCCCGCATGCATGTTGACTCGTTGGGAATGTT